ACTTAATGAATTGTCTTAATTTTTATCATATATCTTTTTGTTTATCTCTCTTGTATTTTTTCTAGTTAATAAAATATGTTAATTGAATGTGTCATTTCTATGTACCGAATTATCGTGTTCATTGCACATTACTATTGATCTTCGTCTATCCGATGTTCAACTATCTTGATCGTTTATTTAAAGTAACGAAAGAGTATTCCGAGCAGGGGCCCTCTCCTTTCCAGAATCTTGTAAAATTTTCACTCTTCTGCAACGTTTTATGACTTTTTGCTCACCAAACCCCAAATTCTGGTCCACTTTATCAGCAATCGTCTAATCGACCTTTCAAGTCATCGATCTCCGTTCAATGATGTAATATGCTTGCTAGTGTCCTAAGAAGTATTAGTGTATTTGAAATTGATCGAATATTTTTTTTTTTATTAACGAAAAATTCATTAATTGAGAATGAACTTATTAAAAAACGCAAGGCATCGGAGAACAAATTAAACATAAGCATTGATGTTGATGAGATGCATACATTGAGAAAAAAAAACTTTGAATTTTCACCTAGATTTGCAGATAAACAAAACTGATGTGAAACCCTTAGTCACTTTATGTATCCGTTTCATAGAAATAAAACATGTTATCCACAGCCGTTTTCAAAAACTAATGAGTGTACCTGTTTTTACCATTTAACAGAAAACATGACGAGCACAAGATTATGTTGGCTGATTAGGTGAGTATTCTAGAGAACTTGTCTATTGACCCTATTTATACGACTATAGATTACATTGAAATTGAAAGCAAACATTACAAATCGACTCAGCTTGGTTTATAACCTATGTCTTGAACTATTTTGAGGTGATCTGAGGTCCCCAGAAAACCTTTACAACTCATGAGCAGTATATAACCTTAAGGCACACCACATTTTTCTGTTAAACGGTGAAAACTACAAACCACTATCTATTTTCGATCAAAACTTATTTGGAAACGTCAGCAATTGATTTACAAATTTGTAAGACGCACTGAAATTTAAACATGCTTTCAATGAAATTCGTTCATATTTGAAAGTAGGAAAAATATTTTATCAAGACGAAAAAACAAAAAACAAAATCAATCGCTACGATCGAAAATATTCGAAAAAGAGAGTTGATCGACGGTACATAAACGATGTTGTCGATCAGAATTATTATTAGGACTTGAAGTTTTATATACAATAGTCCGATTAGGTGTACTAAATAGAAAATATATACAAATTTCTATTATGAAAAAAAAAAGAATAATAACGATTTTACCTCCATTTCATTGGCCCTATAGAAAAATGTTCATCACGACTTGTGATTTCATCATTAAAAATTTGTTTAGATGAAAAATGTGATGTTGAAGAAGATAATATAAATGATGAATCGAAGCGATTGAGTGGTTGAATTTTTCGAACTAACGCAACTTGCTATTAAACAAAAAAGAATGACCTTGTTTGTGGCTCAGTGTAAAATTCTTAAAGCATTTTATAGATAAGAACTAGAAAACTTACAAGACATTCTGAGCTAAGTCGCTTCGGTGTTTTCAAATTAATACTACGTCGACGTGTACGACGAATAAGTGCTATTGGTTTAGGTGAATTTAAAGTAAGAAATGTTTTAAGTGATGATCGACGTCGACGTGATGATATTTGAATGTTTTCATTATGATTATCTGATGAATATATTCGTTGTTTTAAATGACTATTAAGAAAAACAGTAGTTGCTATAGATGGATGCAAACTTGTTTGAACTGATTGATCACGTTTTGAACATCGTTGTTGACTAATAAATTTATTAGTAAGACGACCGAAAATAGTTTTTTTCTTTTTTTCGGTAAACGATAATTTTTCAATAACCATTCTAATTGTTTCAGATTAACCGAGTGAAGAATGCAGAAGAAATAATATATCATATATAGAGAGACGAAGAAAGAAGAGAAAATCATTGTTTAACCAATCGGAAAATATTGTTGAACAGAAAAATAATTGAAATGAAAACACCATGTACAAATTGTATTATTTGCTCAGATCATTCGATAAGCAATAAGTTTGGTTTATGAGAGACATATTGCATCATAACAATTCAAGCATGTCAGATAAAGTATGAATTAATTAGACATGCAACTCAATAACGATTCACTCAATGGTTTGATCTTAAAGATACGTTCGCACAACAGATAGACTTATGTTTTATAATATGGGTGAGAGTATATAGTGTTTCACAAGTCATTTACACATAAGAGTGTCTCGAACAGAGGTTTACCCCGTTACCAATTCTTCCGAAATTTTCCCAAGCGAAGTTTCAGCGTTTTATTTTTTGTTTTCGGTCACCGATTCTCAAAATAATTGTTCTTCCACACTCAATCGTGGCGACCTTGGTGCATCCCCGAATACAAATAGAAGAGAAATGAAAAAATGAGTAGACATTGCAACAATCAATGCATTATCAGAATAAAATTTGTAATACGTAATATAATACCACGTACTATTAATGGTTTGAAAAGTCGATATTCTCGAATTAAAAAAACATTTAAATTCTCTACGTTCAAATATTTACATTGTGATTGATTTGTTGCAAAAATAACAATCTTTAGTATCGATTAAAATAATATGAGATGACAACACGAAGGCTATAATTTCAATACGTCGAAAACATAAAGCAATAAGAGATGAATGTTTAAAGTGAACTTGTGGCAACGTTATGATGAAGGTCGTATTGGTATTCATGCGTTTTTGAACGATACTGAATTGGGATATTTTGAACGGCTATCAAAAATTGAAATACCGATCTCTCTCTTTTTTTTTGTTCATTTCGAAATAATCAATGAACAATAAGTCGTGTAAATCAAACACCCTATTAACTTTTTTTTTCTCAAAAATTAGATGTTTGAAGATCAAAAATGTTTTGACCCTTAGTATTAACTTTTTAACATTTAAAATGTATGCAAAACAAATGCAATGCATGTAATTAATGTTCGTTATTCATCAATATGATATTCAAACAAATCATTTTATCTTCACTCTTAGCCTTGTTCACACCTTTTTAATAAATCATCAAAAATCTATTGAAATAAAACATCTGAAATCGACTATCAAGATATCGTTGACTTAAAGGAAATTCCAATTCTTATCAGTCTACTAACATAGAAGACATTCTTTCAGTTTAATTGAATATGAAAACAAAAACAAAATTTAATCATTCGTTTTGTTTAAAGAAACGATGGGAATGTGGAAGATAATTATGAAGAGAGCGATGTCAATAATTCACATACTATTTGTCAGAAAAACGTGCACACTAGGATATAAACTATGTACGATTGTTAACCTGAAATGAGATGATTAGATCACCGGGATATCAATCGGTTTATTTCACTCAATTTATCATTGACTTGTGTCTGTTTACGTAAGACATAATAATATTTTGGTATAGTTATGTAGTCTAGAATAATTTTTTTTAAAGAAAATGGTCAATTCTTGAAATTACGAGTATATGTATATGAAGATCAAAAAAGGAAAAAAATATTCAATAAAAATTGTTGATGATTATGTGTGAAGAGAAAATTTTTGTAATTTTTGCTTCGTCTTTGAATATCAGATAGATAAGCAAGTTTTTTGTTCTAATTTTATGAGTGATTTTTTAATGATATAATCTTGAGGTGACAACTCATCGAAAATATAAAAGAATTGTGTCTGAAAGCATGTTTCAGTTGTGTTTGATGATGAGAAGAAGTAGCATATGCAAATGAACGTGATATTTTTTTCAACAATCAAATATAAAATGTTACATTTTGAGTGAATTGTGTGAAGTTCAAACTTAGGTAATGTCTAACACGTTTTATTGATAGCGAAAAGGTTAATTGTTTTTTTTTTAAAGAAAATTTGTACTTGTCGATCGTTGAAATAATTCTACAAAAACAAAAAAAGGAATATCACTATTTCTTTTTTTGATTGTATTCTAGTATTCTCAATAATGACTCTGGTGTAGACGGAACCGCTACCGGAACTAGGACAAGAGCGCATCAAATCCAAAATTGTCGTACCCGAACCCAACGGGATCTAGGTTCGGGGTTAATACTTTTCCATTGAAAACAATATCTTTTCTGGTCGTGAAAAACTTGTGTCGAATTTCGTATTGTCACGATTAGAGATGTGCAGGAGTAAGTTGTTTTGATTTCGATCTCAGTGAATTATGTTCGAAATTCATATGACTTAGCAGATAGTTTGCTTAAAATACTTGAATACTTTACTATAAACTTGAGTTTCAGTCTGGAAAATTTGTTCTCGTAATCTCGGTTCCGACATCAGCAACTTTTTCTTCTCGCGGACCTGATTTTGTTACTGTATAAAATTCTGTTGTTAATATTGATTTTAATGACACTATACATCGTTTATCGATGTGACAGATGTTTACACTCTACTTTATTATAATGATCTGATGATTTTTGAATCGTCTCATATATCGTCCAATATAAAGAGAATTTATTCTTCATGTTCTAATGTTATGATAAGAAAAATTGTTAAAATTGGTTCTATACAATGATTTATTGATTGTCAACTTGTGACAGTTAAAATTGTGTGTATAAGAAAAACAAATGGATAAAAAAATGTTTATTTTCTATTTATTAGGTATATCCCATTGAAAACCCAAATTCTTTTTGGTTTGATCTAATGATTTTTTATTTTGATTTAATGATTTTTTCTCATCATTATTATTTTGACTTTCAATTTTTCTGTAACCTTGATTCCACTGTTCGAAACGTTTCATTTCTTCAGCATATACCTAAATTAAAGTTTCAAACATTAGGAAAAAAAATAATAACAACAGCAAATAAATATGACGATATATATACTTTTTTCATGGGATATGTATTACGTCCATTTTCTTCCATATATGAAATAACACGTCCAGCATAATCTTGATATTGTTGTCTTTCAATTTCATTCATATGTTTATCAAGTTGAACTTCCTCTAGTTCACTACTTTTTAATCCATGTTCACGTTCTTTTCGTTCTTGCTAAAAGAAAGACTTGATTGTGATATTTTCCAAAAAATAAATAAATAAAAAGTCTATCGTATCAACTGATGGAGAAATGCTTTGCCGCACATAAAGTCATACATATAATATAAACATATATCTATTAGTTACTGCTCTTATACATATATTATATTCAAAAAGAAGTTATTTTCCTTTTTAAATAGAAGCTACTGAAAGATGTTAATGATAAACTTTTTTCGTACTGTAACTGAAAAAAAATTTCTAACACTTATCCTAGTCAACCCTGCAGGGTAGGATAATCATGTACATTTCTACAATATTAGCTATTGTTGAGTTCAATGAAATGAACTTATTCTACTGTTAAGATTTTTATAGGTCTTTTGGATTTCTGCTCGTAGAATTACAAGAGAATGTTTCCTTCTTTTGGTGTCGAATAGTTAAGAAACTCAGTCTTTCTGCACTTTATTTATTAAGTGACAATCTTTGAAAATCAATATATCGAGAAGGAAACATTTTTCTTTACTGAAACTTTTAGAGTGTTCTATTCAGTACGAGAACTATATATGGATGCAATTTTAGACTGAAATTGTGATATTCAACATTTCCGTAAATACCTTGCATAAGGTCGAAAAACCAGTAAAATGATCATAAATTTCAAAACAAGCCTCACTGCCCTGAATCCTGTTAGGATTTTTCAGATTTGATAATGTTGTTATCATGCGTCCTAAGCCAATCGATGATTTAAAACTCTTTTATCATTTTACGAGCAGTCATCGCTGATTGGCGACGCAGTTCAACACGAATTCACCACGTACTATGTTAAATTCTTGGTACCGTCAGCCGTGAAATGATCCTGGGTAAGTCACTAATGGCTATTTGTCTCGAATCACTCGTCCAATAACATGTTGATTATGTTATGACATACACCTGCTCTTGTGGCTAGTTAGAGTGTGTGAAGAGCGCAAGTACTCTGCGTCAGGCTGACTTTTTGTACAGAGCTACAGCTAGTATTGATTATAGGGAAGCTATCGTTTTACGATCTACATCTATAGTCAAGTTTAATAACTTACAGCTTGTTTTAAATGAATTTCAGAAACAACATGAGCATCTTGATTTCGTTGTTTATCTTTTTCTTGTTGATATAAAAGAAATAATCGATCAGCTTCTGCTTTTTTTTGACGCATTTCTAAATCTTCACGTTGTTCCATTTCTTTTTCAGCTTCACGTCGTTTCATCTCAAATAAGAAAAAAAAAACAATATCGATTTTTTGACATAAACAAACAAGCGTTCATACTATTTCTTGTCGATGTCTATTAATTGATTCTTGCATTTTTTGTTTTTTATCTAACTTTTCTTGTTCTTCACGTAATTCTTTTGCTTCTCTTTGTGCTTGTGCACGAAATATTTGTGTATCATAATTAGCTTCAGCTCGTTTTTGTAATGAACCTAAATAGCCAATCATATGATCACGTGCTTCTTGTTTTTCTCTAGAAAACAAAACAAAACAAGTAATTTTTTAAATGAAATATTATTAGATTTACTGATGAGCTTGAATTTCTTTTTCACGTCTTATTCGACCAATTTTTTTCTTCGCCTCTGCATAAATACGAAGTTCGTCATCTTCTTCCTAAACAAACGAAACAAAAAAAAACAAGTAGCAGCATATGATGTACACAATCTAATATATTTTTTCTTTACTTCATCCATCTCTTGTTCCATTTGTTTAACTTTATATTTATCATCAAGTGCTTTATCATACATATTTTTAACATCTTTTTGTGTTAATTTACGAAATCTTTCGATTTCCATTTGTTCAAATGCATATTGTTCAGCTAAATGTCGATACTCTTCACCTTCTTGTT